ACTTTCCAGCCAGTTTTTGTGGCTCCCCAAGGTCAAATGTCACTAGATGTGCGTGCGTGCGTGTGTGTGTGTGTGTGTGTGTGTGTGTGTGTGTGTGTGTGTGTGTGTGTTTCTGGGTGTGTCTATATGTCTACTGGTTCTGGGACTCAAACTCAGGGCCTAGATGCTGCTTGTGAGCTTTTTTATAATTTTTGCCAGTCCTGTGGCTTGCATCTGGGCCTGGGCACTGTCCCTGAGTTCCTTTTGCTCAAGGCAAGCTATACCACTTGAGCCACAGTGCCATTTCCAGATTTTTCTGTGATGTGGAATCAAACCTAGGACTTCATGCATGCTAGGCAAGCATTTTACCACTAAGCCACATCCACAGTCTCATGAGCTTTGTTTGTTCAAGGCTAGCACTCTAACACTTAAACCTCCACTTATGGGTAGTTAATTGGAGATAAGAATCTTATAGATATTTCTTCACTGGCTGGCTTCAAACCTGAAATCACTGATTTCAGTCCCATGAGTAGCTAAGATTACATAGGTGTGAGCCACCAGCACCTGGTTTAAAAACAACAACAAAACTACACCCACCTAAGAATTAATGATAGGTTTCATTCCAGCTTTAGGTGAATCAACGAATCATTCTGAAACAATAGATCTTTAACTTACCTGTAGTTCTAGTAAACTATAGTTTAAAATTACTTTCAGAAATACAAGCTGAGGCACTTGAGTTCATGACTGTAATTACTAAATAGGCTGAGAAGTGAGAATCATTAGTCCAAGCCTCGGCAAACAAATCTGAGAGATTCATATCTTTAATTAACAGTTAAGAATATGGAAACAGATGTGGTTCAAGTGGTAGAGTGAAAGAGCTAAAAAGACAAGGCCAGGACCTGAGTTCAAACTACAGTACAGTGTATTGGCAGGAAAAAAAAGAAGAAAGGAAGGAAGGAGGGAAGGAGGGAGGGAAGGGAAGGGAAGGGAAGGAAGGAAGGAAGGAAGGAAGGAAGAAAGGAAAGGGAGGGAGAGAAAGCTCAGTAAACCTTCTCTGAAGGAAAACTACCAAACTCATTCTGTGAGTTAAGTATTATCTTTTGTGTGTGCATGCTCCTACTGTGGCTTGAACTCAAAGCCTAAGTCCTGTCTCTTAGCTTTTGTGCTCAAGGTTGGTACTCTACCACTTGAACTTCAGCTTTATTTCTGGTTTTTAGTGGTTAGTAGGAGATAAAACTCTCATAGAAATTCCTGTCCAGGTTGGCTTCAAACAGATTTTTAGATATCAGCCTAGCTATGGTTACAGGTATGAGACATTGGTTCCTGGCTCACAATATCTTAATATCCAAATCAGATAAGGACATGTTTAAAAAAAAGAAAGAAAATTGTGGATCAGTTTTCCTGATACAAATAGCTGCAAAAATCCTCAACAAAACTCAAAACACACATTAATGTGTTCATCAGCACATTAAAAAAGATAATATAGCCAGGTGCTGGTGGCTCACCCCTGTAATCCTAACTAGTCAAGAGTCTGAGATCTGATGATGGTTCAAAGCCACCCTGGGCAGAAAAGTCTATGAGATTTTTATCTCTAACAAACAACTCAGAAAAAGCTGGAAGTGGTGCTGTGGCTCAAATGGTAGAGTGCTAGCCTTGGGCACACAGAGGCTCAGGGACAGCACCCAGGCCCTGAGTTCAAGCCCCAGGACTTACAAGAAAAACAAAAAACAAAAAGATAATATACTGTGATCAAGCTAATTTTATTCCAGAGATATACAAAGTAATATAATGCATAAACAGAATAAAGGACAAAAATTAAACAATCATCTCTATTTATATAGAAAAAGAGTTGACAAAATTTAACATCCATTCATGATAGACAAAAATTAAAAACTATGAAGAAACTAGGAATAGAAGAAATATACCTCAACATAGTAAAGACAGAATATGATAAACATATAACCAATATCATTCTAAGTGGAGGTATACTGAAATCATTTCCACCAAAGTTAGCAGTGAGACAAGGGAGTCCACACTTCCTGCTCTCATTAAATATAGTGCTTAAATTCTTAGTCAGAGCCTAAGGCAAGAGAAAGACAGAAACATACAAATAGGAAATGAAGAAGTCAAATATATCCCTATTTTCAGATGACATGATCCTATATGGATCCAAAATTAAAATAAAAAGTAGTTTTTCTGCAAAAAATGAACAGACAGAAATAAAACATAAAAATAATCCCATCATAATACCCTTAAAAATCAAATACCTAGGAATAAACCTAAGGAAGTGAGAGAGATCTACAATGAAAAACAGATATCACTGAAGAAAGAAACTGAAGGAGTCCTAGAAGATGGAAAGACCTGTGATCATGGATTGGAAGAATTAGTATTGTGAAAAAGCTATTATTAAAATAGCTATTATTGTATTATTTAATACAATTCTTGTCAAAAGTCCAGTGTAATTCTTCATAGAATAACAATCCTAAAATTTCATTGGATGCACACCAGTCCTTGAATATCCAATGGGATTTTGAACAAAATGTTTTGAACACTGTTAGATTTATCACAAAATTTTAAACAGAAAGCAGAGCCCCAGTTACTCATGCATGAAATCCTAGTTACTCAGGAGACTGAGTTCAAGGATTATGGTTCAGAATTAGCTCAGGAAGGAAGATCCATGAGACTCTTTTTTTTTAAAATCTTTTTTTTTTTTTTTCTTGGGTCAGATTGTGGGGCCTGAACTCTAGGCCTGGGCGCTGTCCCTCAGCTCTTCAGTTCAAGGCTAGCGCTCTACCACTTGAGCCACAGCGCCACTTCTGGCTTTTTTCTTTTTGCTCATGTGGTGCTGAGGAATCGAACCCAGGGCCTCATGCATGCAAGGCAAGTGCTCTACCACTGAGCCATCTTCCCAGCCCCAAAAATTCTTTTTTTTTGTCGGTCGTGGGGCTTGAACTCTGGGCCTGGACGCTGTCCCTCAGCTCTTCAGCTCAAGGCAAGCGCTTTACCACTTGAGCTACAGCGCCACTTCCCCATGAGACTCTTATC